CCTGCCCCCCAGCCAGCCGGTTCCTCGCCCCGGGGCCAGTGCCCCATGCCCTGCCCCCCAGCCAGCCAGTCTGCCACCCTGGGGCCAGTGCCCCCTAGCAGGCCAGGGCCCCAGCGCCCCAGTCCCTCCCCCGCCCCTGAGCTAGCCAGTTCCCTGCTGTGGGGCCGGATTGGGGCCAGTGCCCCCTAGTGGGCCAGGACCCCAGCGCCCCTGCTCACCTGTTGTTGTGGGTGAGTTTGATGTTCTCGCCCGGCGCCAGGATCTTGCCGTTCTTCAGCCAGACGAGGTGGGGCTCGGGGACGCCCTGCGCCACGCAGGTGAAGATGGCGCTGCTGCCCAGCGGCTTGGACATCGACTGGGGCCACTGCACGAACTCCGGGGGGGCTGTGGGGGAGGGGGGTGTTGGGTGGGGAGCAGACTGGGGAACGCTGCCCCGGCCTCCCCTCCCCCCACCCCAGCTCCAGCCTCTCCCTGCCCCACCCACCCGTCCCACCTGACCCCCGTGAGGGGCGCCCCGCAGGCCCGCTCCGGCTGTACCACAGTGAACCCCCATAACCCCGGCAGAGGCCGAACAGGCACCAGCCACGCTGCCAAGGCCTGGGCAGAGCCCAGCGCGACCCCAGCTGGGCCGGGCGGTGACCCGTAGCCAACACCCAGCCCCAGCAAGCCGCCGGCACCCACCCCAGGGCGCGGGGCTGGGCCTGGGGAGGGCAGTGCGGCTTGGGGGAGCCCCCGTCAATCTCATGCACCGGCCCATGGGCCTGTCTTGCCTGGGTGACTTGCCCATCCAGGCATCAGCCTGGGGCCGGCAGAGCCCTCCCCCCCGCAGCCCCTGGTTCCCAGCTGCTGAGCGCCCCTCCCCCAGCTTGTCCTAGCCCCTCAGCCCCACAATAGCCGCCCCTCGGCTGCTGTGAGCCCAGCTGGTGCCGAGAAAGGCCCCCTAAGCCGCTGTGACGGGGCCGCAGCTCATTAGCGCCAGCAAAGGCAGCACAATAGCCAGTGGCAGCAGGTCGCGGCCCATCGCTCTGCCTGGGGGCGGGAGGGGGGGGCCTGCGTCCCCCCCCCAGGGTCCCTGCGCATGGGGAAGATGACTGGATTGACCCTCCGCTTGGAACCGGACCCTGGCCCTGTCCGAGTGGGGGGGCCTCCTGCCACCACCGTGCTGTGAATTGCCCCCCCCGCAGGGATTGCAGGGGGGAGCCCCCAATCCCCAGGGCCCCTCCCCTGCCAGAGCCCTGGGCTCCCTGATCCCTGGCGTGAGAACACCCCTAGGAGCAGGCGTGCGGCCCCAAACACCCACCTGGTCAGTCCCTCCCAGGCCGGCCCAGCGCTGGAGGAGCAGTTGGCCAGGCCAGCTGCTGAAGGTGATTTAGTCCCACGCCAGCCCCGCCGGGGGGGGGGGGGGGGGGGGGCCCCCGCCCCTCCTCGGTCGGGGGGGGGGTGGGTAGGAAGAAGTCGCTGGGACGGGGAGGGGAGGGTCACGCCCCCCCATGACCTTTGCCCCGTTGCTCACACAAAGCCAAGTGCGAGTCGGTCAGTCCGTCCGTCTGTCCCCCGTTTGCTCTAGCCGGCTCGGGGGCTGACTGTCTGTCCAGGCATTTGTAAGCCATTTGTCCTCCCTTGGCCTGTGTCTGTCCGTCCGCCCGTCCCCTGCCCCACACCCCGCCCTGCAGCCCCGGCAGACTCACCCTGCACCATGAGGATGCCCTGGGCCGTGCGGCGCACGCGGGTGCCCGGCCGGTTGGCAGCGCACACGTAGACTCCGGCGTGTTTCACGGAGACGTCCGAGATCATGAGGTTGCCAGTTCCCAGCACCTGGATCCCCTCCACGCCGATGGAGCGGCCATCTGGGGGTGGGGGGAGCCGGGGGTGAGGGGGGGGGCAGGGCCATGTCCCTTTGGGGGTAAGGCCCCATTTCCCCTCCCTGCGGCCTGTCAGCCAGGGGGTCTGTGCACCCCCCAGTCACTCATCCCCCATCCCCACTGTCCCCCCCACTCTCCCCCTCCCACTGTGCCCCCCACTCAGCTCCCCCAATATTCACCCCCCAGCCTGTGTCACCCTGTGATTGCCCAGGGGTCTTTCCAGCCCCCACCTCCGAAGCTTCCCCCACAAAGCGACCACGCGCGCAGGAGCAGCCCGGCGCCCCCTCACCGAGCCGGCTCCAGGAGACGATGGGCCGCGGGTTGCCGGTGGCAATGCACTCCAGGACAGCCGTCTGGTGCACCGTGATGGTCAGGTTCTGGGGGCCCGACAGGATCATGGGCTCCTTGTAGAGTTTGGGGGCTGAGACTAGGGAGAGAGGGTGCTAATGGAGCCTAGGAGTCTTGGCTGCCAGCCCCCCATCCCAGCTCTAACCCCCCAGACCCACCTCCCTTCCCAGAGCTGGGGAGAGAACCCAGGAGTCCGGGCTCTCAGCCCCCCTCCCCCCCCGCTCTAACCCCTCGACTGGGCTCCTGCTGGCGGCCCCACACCGGGCCGTGGCCCGCGCTCACCGCTGATGGCCAGCTGGGCCTCCTGGCTGCAGCGGCTGTTGGCGATGTTGGTGGCCACGCAGCGGTAGGAGCCCACGTCGGCTCGACGCACCCCGGTGATGTGCAGGATACCGGCCGGCAGCAGGGTGAACCTGCCGGGGAGGGCGAAGGTCAGGGAGCGGAGCCGGCGCCCAGGGCGGGGGCTGAGACCCAGTCCGTTGTGTGGGGAGCGCTGGGCCAGGCCGGTCCCACTCTCAGCACCCCACCACGCTGGGCTGGGCCAGCCCCACCGTCACCCCCCCCCAGGTGTGGTTCTCAGCCCCCCCGCCGCGCTCACCGGTGGTCGCCGGGCGGCAGGGCCGTGCGGTTGCGCTCCCAGGTGATGGTGGCCTCGGGCACGCCCTGGATGAGGCACTGGAACCGGGCGACGCCGCCTTCCTCCACCGCCATGGACTCTGGATGCATGTGGAACTTGGACAGGGCTGTGGGGGGAGGCACCGTCAGGGCAGAGACACCCTCCCCCGCTGGGCACCCCCTGGACACTGACCCCAATGGAGAGGTGCTCCCCCTCCCAGGTCCTGGCCCCCATCCCCTCTGGAGTCAGCCCCCTGCTGCGCTCTCCCTCAGAGCAGTGCCCTCCCAGGCCCCTCCTTGCACAATAAATAAATTAATTAATTAATGGAAATATCCCATCTCCTAGAACTGGAAGGGACCTTGAAAGGTCATTGAGTCCAGCCCTCTGCCTTCACTAGCAGGACCAAGTACTGATTTTGCCCCAGATCCCTAAGTGGCCCCCTCAAGGATTGGACTTCGGGGCTGGGTGAGGGGATGGGGGCTGCCCCGTGTCTGAGCCTGGGGGGCACCCAGCAGGGAGCTGGTTTGCGGGGCCCCACGTGGCAGAAGGCAGAGCCAGGAAGGTGCAAAGGAGGGTCCAGCCCCCGCTCACCCCCCGCCCCATGTACCCACAGCAGGGGGCTGAGGCACCCACAATGTGTTAAGCTGGGGGGAGGGGAGACCAGGGCTCCACCCTCAGTCAGATCAGCTGGGACCCCCCCCAAGTGGGGTTGGAGCCCAGACACACCCACCCCTCCCAGCCCTGCACCCCAAACCCTTGGGGAGGGTCGGAGGGGGCTGGGCCCACGTGCAACATCCACCAGTGGGGACTGGGGCAGCGAGGGCTGTTCTGTGGCACCAAGGGCCGGGCCCTGGGCTGGTGGCACCACGGGGCCGGGCCCTGGGCTGGTGGCACCACGGGGCAGGCCGTGGCAGGTGGCAGCACGGGGCAGGCCGTGGCAGGTGGCACCATAGGCTGGCCCGTGGGCTGGCGCGTGCCCATCCCCGACTCACTGGCGAGCTGCACACGGGCCTTGCGGCTGACCAGCAGCCCGTCGCGGTTCTGGGCGGCACAGCTGTAGTCGCCCACGCTGGTCTGGTTGGCGGCGTCCCCGCCCCGGGGCCGGCGGTGGAAGCTCTCGATGCGCAGCGAGCCATTGGCCAGCACGGCCGTGTGGCTGCCGCTGCCCAGCGGGGCCCCGTCCTTGTGCCAGGTGATGCTGATGGGCGGCTCCCCCTCCACCCGGCAGTGCAGCACCAGGGGCCGGTCCCGCACCGCGATCACGTCCGCCGGCTCCAGCAGGAACGCCAGCTCCGAGGGGCGGCCCAGCTCTGTGGGGAGCAGCCGTTAGACCCCACGGCCAGCGCTTCTCGGGCAATACCCGCAATGGGGCAGGATCGGGCCCTAGCTCCCTGGGCCACTGGGAGCAGGATCAACCCAGGGTGGGTTTGTTACCCTCCATTCACACGCACCCTCCCTCTGGCCCCTCCATCCACCCCCTCCAGCCATCAGTGCCAGCCAGCCCTGCAGCCAGCCGCACCTTTCAATCCCTCCACCCATGACCTGCACAGACTCCTCCACCCCTCCGTCCGGCCCCCCGTGGCTAGCTACCCCCCGCCCGTCTGCACAGCCGCCTCCCCACCTGCTCTCCAGCCCTCCGTCTAGCGCCAGAGATTCCAGCCACCCGCCCAGCCCAGCGCCCCCTTGAGTCACCCCACAGCGCTGAGCAGAGGCTCACGCCCCCCAGGCCTGCCTTGTCAGCCACCTCTGGGGCAGAACACGGCAGCTGCTTATACGCTGCACAGCCAAACAGCAGGACAGGCTAGGAAGTGAACGAGCCCAGCCCTGATCCTCGGCCCACCCTCAGCCCCTGCGTATCCCAAGCGGCCCCCGGGCGGAGGCCCCCCCCAGCTACTGAGCTCTGGCGGGGGGGGGGGAGTGGCGTGACACTGGGGCACAAGGGCAGCGGTTCAAGGGTTTCCAAGGGACTTTCCATGAGCTCCCCCCCCCCAGCTACTCAAACCTGCCTGGGTGGGAGCCCAAGAGTCGACGCCCGGCGTCCCCGCAGACCCACAGCTCAGCCCCAGAGGGGGACCTGACCAGCTCGCCTGGGGCACCAAGGGAAACGTGCCCAGCACACGCACTGACACACCGAGCACACGGATGCAGTGTCCGCCCGTGTGTGGCATGAACATGCACCCCCCCATCGGCGTGCAATGCACACACATCCCTTCGCAGCGTGTGCACCAATGGGCAGGGCAGACACAAGGGGGCAGTGAGCAACCCCCCCCCATGCACACGGCACGACACACCTACATCATTCACTCAAGTGCACAAAATACACATGCCCCCCCCCCAGTGCATAGTGTGGACCAGCCTGGAGCGTGTAACAGCTCTGCTGGTGCGATGCACGCGCAGGTGCTTCCGTAACGACCA